TATATATATATATATTAAACATGCCGGTAATTTGTTCTTTATACCAAATTATAGAGGTTGTTCTATTCTACACTTTAGTACTAACAGCAGTATATATTCAGTTGATAAAAAGGTGTGAGCATAATGTTACCCCTACCCTATATTAATAAATGGATTAATTAGACATTCATTGTATATACTCCGTTAGTTTATATTTACTATTTGATGAATTATACAAAGTTTGAAAATAAACATATTTCATAACATATAATAATAGACCGATCATTTCTAAGGTACATCACCAGTTTTCAGCATCATAACTGCTATTTAAACTAGTTAAGAGCTTTTTCATTCATATCAAAATCATATGGTGAATGCATAATATAGACACGGCCACTTATTTTTAGAGTCATAATTCTGTTGTGGTTGTAGCTAAGATGTCCCGGTTTTTTATATATGTACTTCAACTAAATTTCATCCATGTTTATTTAGTTTCAACGGAAAAGAAAAACTATTATCACAAGTTTTAATATATATTTTGGATCAAATTTGATGTTCATCATTGGAAGATTACCTTTTGACCTCTTGTGACATAATTAACGACGTAATTACATTTTTCTTTATACCAAATGATAGGAAATGTATTATTCTACACCTTGATAATAAACACAAGAAAATATACTCTGTTGATTAAAAGTTGTGGGCAAAATTGTTACCACCCACCCCATATCAATCCTAATATTGAACAAAAAAGGCAACCAGCCAAAAATCGCTTGACTAACATAGTGTTTCTTGAAGCTTATACATATAGGTAACTGAAAAAAAATAGTGACAGGTATAAAGCAGGGTGCGGGGGGGGTGGTCGGACCCCCTGGACTAAGAGCACGTGCGACTGACAGATATCAGTGACGTAACACCTTTTCGCTCTCGTGTGGCGGTCCCCGGGGGCCCTACTTATAGTGTCGTCGATCTAGTACCGTGAGCCAAAATGACTTTGTTGATAAATAACAGCATAATTATTTTCTCTGACATCACCTGTAGGACATATAATACATCCGGTGGCTAATTAAATAAAGTCCCGGGTCGAGTATTTTTTTTTCTGCAACACACATAACAATACACATTGCTTTTAGCCAATCAGAACATAGGAAACCTATTATGTGTCTGGTCCCGTGGTCTTGTGTTTGTTTTTTTTTAAACGAATACAAATCTTGATTGGAATTATTTTAATTTTATCTGTATATCAATTCTATGATTCTATTATCTCTGATTAAACTAAACAGTGGTACGTACCGGTAATTTTTAAAACTTTTTTTTTTAAGGCGGTTCTTGTTGAACTTACTGTAGCTTCCCTCCTCCTTAAATGTTACAATGTATTTGTTTCATTTTTTTTTTGCATTCTTATTGTATATTGTAGGCCTACTACTTTATTGTATGGAAAATAAAAGTATATTTGATTTGATTTGATTTTAAGCTTACAATGACGTCAGAGACATACTCATGAATGTTCAATTATGAGCCTCACTTCCTTACCTGCTACATTCGTCTCGCAGAGAAGGGTGAAACGAAAGCGCATGTTAGTAATATATTAGGGTTGGAAATTAAGAGAGCACTGGGTTACAGTTCATAGGGTGGGTTATTAATTAAGAGCACTGGATTAATATTCATAAGATGGGTTATTAAAAGCAGTTAGTTACTACCACTGGTTACTATTGTTGTTTTAATTCCATTTCGCTGTTTTTTGTTTTTTTTTATTCAGTTAAGTTAGTTAAGATTTTGGTGCTATTGTATATTATGTAAAATTCATGTTTATAGTTTGTGATATGCATGTTATATTGTTTTTATTGTATAAGCTCAGGGAATTTAATATCAATTCAATAGGAATAAAAGTAATAGGCATATATTTATATAGCAAGGAGATGCTATTATAACATTAATTTTACGAAATCCGACGACATTCTATACACATAATATGACGTAGGGGCCTACTGTTTAATAAATGTTGTCTACCCAATTAAAAAATTATATAGCTTATATAAAACGATCAAGATCAGATGGTTAAAAAAGCTTTCACTGATTTACAGACGGTTCTACAAAAAAAATAATTAAATGTCACCAGTCAGTGAATTATAAGAAAGAATACAGCAAATACGCTAACTGTCTGTTAATTGACAGGGATTTTTTTTCTCTCAAAATATGTTTTATTGTAAAATTGTAGGTTAGAAACTGTGCCCCAAGTACTCGTAATATGTCTCCGAGCATTTCTAAACGTTTATAGCCTTCAGAATCAGTATTATTATATAGGGCATACAATTGCTACAATACATGCCATATCTAGGATACTATACTGTAGGCCTACTCAAATAGCCAGATTCAATAATACTGTGCTTTTTTATGCTTTGAAAGACCATGCCGCGTCTAGTCATACATAAGGATATTACTAAAAATATTCCAATTAATGTTCACACTGTCTTGACTACCAAGGCCTTTTTAGCTGACTCCACAACGTTCATCCATGTATAAACACTGCAGCTTACTCGATACACCAATGAACTCAATTTCGCGAGAGGGCGGTCTGGTATGCATATTCACCTAACTGACATGTAATAGCGCTCTCTATAATTTCTGCCTTAACTGTATGAGCAAAATATAATGCGACCGGGACCTAAATTAGAGCCACCAGTCCCAACGTCACGTCACTGCCAGACATAATAGAACAAATAAGTCAATTTTACTCACTTCCGGTAGTCCAATTTTCTTTGGAGTTTGTCCTGCTGTAAATTATCAAAGGATTTGTGCTATACCCCTCCCATTCCCGGCATGAAGTAGTTTCGTCAACTCTAAACCAACCTGTGTCTCCACCACAGCCTGCATAATAACTGCTCATTAAGAATCTTCTTCTGTAATGACAACATGTATTAATCAATGGTGATGGTAATAGTATAAATGTAAAATAATATTATTATTATTATTATTATTATTATTATTATTATTATTAATTTTATTAATTTTATTATTGACTGATGTAGATTCATCTATCCAGGTTTACAATAAAAAATATCATCTAAACTTTTTATCTCTGGATAAAGCAGAAAACAAAAAAAAACTTACGTTTTAAGCTTTCGACTATCACTGTAGTCTTGTTCACAGTGATACTTTTTATCTAGAGATAAAAAGTTTTAATTGATATTTATCATTATTATTATTATTATTATTATTATTATCATTATTATTATTATTATTATTATTATTATTATTTTTATTATTACTATTATTATTATTATTATTAGTTCATTATTCGACTGTCTTAATTTTGCACGTGCAATGAAACAAAGTTCCACCATGAGACAGTGGCTGCCTTATTTGAATACAGTTTGAATAGGAATGTTCGATACAGAGGACTGTGCTTCTTTTTTTTTTTTTTTTTTTTTTTGGTTTTGGTGGTTTTTTTTTTTTTTTTTTTGTTTTTGTTGTTTTTTTTTTTATGACGCCCTATATTTCGTGGTAGTAGGTTTTTGAGATAGGATTCCGTTTCAAAGAAACCAAAGAGACTTTCAACTACTAGATAGATTTTTGCTGCGAGTCACCAGACGAGCAACGACACTAATTCCGACGTACGCCAGTAAAATACTCGATTTTTTTTTCCGGGATTCGAGAGGAATTTTTCGGAGAGCGTCGGATCGTTTTCGGTTTTCAGCCCGAAAGCGCGATAAAATTCGAGTGCTTTTCGGAGCCTTTTCGAGATTCACATAGCGAGATCCACGGCGATTTTTTTCCCTGGATGTTTAATGTAGTGTCGATTGGTGGCGCTATAGGATTCGGCAATAAATTCATGAATATTAATTTACAGATCGGTTTTGATACCTGCTTTGCGAGATAAATTCGCGTCCCGGCGACATGGCTTTCATTTAAGGTCATTGTCAGTTTAGCTTGACGGCGTCGGATGAGTTCGTTTGGAGTTGGAATTTAGTCGGTAAGTATTCCATTTTCAAACATTTATTATGTTAATTTTAGTGGTGTTTAGATTGTGTCCTGTTTGTGAAATTTGTATTGCAGCTGCTATGGTTGTACTTTTTAAAAATTTAATTAGGCCTAGGCGGAACGTCGCTAGTCTTTTAATTTCAGGCCAGGCCTACCCTGGTTTAACCTAATATTAGGTTTTCCAATAGCTTCTCTACCTAGGGTAGATCTAGGCATAGGTTAAGTTAGGGCCAGATGTCTAAACTAACAGCGTTATTTTATTGACATTAATTAGAAGCTGCCATATTATTTTGATATCTGTACGTGGCAACAGGCTCATCATAGACGCCATATTGTAATTTTGTGACGATAATTTTTGTTCCCATGATTATACTTACGAGTTTAATTGTATATTTTGATCTCCAAATATCTTACTAAAAATAACATCTAATAAATAATATCGAATAAAATAATAGTAATCGATAATTATATTGAATAAATATGTTAGTAATACAGCTTTTATGTGTGAATTTGGTAACAAATATTGCGCTTCAATCTTATGTTAATTTACACAATCATGTACAGGTACATAAACGCCATATTGTAATTTTGTAGCAATAAACATTTTTCCATGATTATACTTAGGAGGTAGGTATATATTTTGATCTCCAAATATCTTACCAATAAATCAACATCTAATAAAATATCAAATAAAAAAATTAGTAATCGATAATATATTGAATGTGTGAGTATGGTTACAAATATTGCGCTTCAATCTTTCACAGGACACATGTACTGTATTTCCAAACACTTATGTGTCCGTATTGCCTAATAAATGCTGTTGATTATGGTCATCATATTAGTGATGTTTCTAGAAGAGTGTGATTGTGTCCTGTTTATGAGTATTTGAGGCTAGCTATGATTGGGCTTATAATTAATTAGGCTGAAGGCCTTGCTAGTCTCTTTTATTTGTGGCTAAGCCTAACGTAATATTTGGAGGTATATTGATATCCAAATATTTTACTAATAAATCAACATCTAATAAAATATCATAAAATAACAGTAATCGATAATTATATTGAATATATTTGTTATTAAAACAGCTTTTATGTGTGAATTTCTGAACAGATATTGTGCTTCAATCTCGTGTTAATTTACACATGTACTTTTGCTTGCAGGTTTTTGGTGGTTGCACACGATCCAGGTAACTGTCAGTTTAGATCTTGACGGTGTTGTATGCTTTCATTTAGAGTTACATGGAGATAAGAAGCCTACAAGCTATCACATATTTACGATGACCTTCTACACAACCCAGAAAACAGAGGACTTCGCGGAACAGACCACAGATACCAACAGAGGGTGCACGTCATCGGATGACATCGGCCGATGACGAAATGATCTGATATTAGGCCATTAACCTGATGAAGGTACTATTTCGAAACCGGTTTAAATACTGTAGTATTTGAACAAGTTTAAAAAGCATTTATTTAAATTGAACACTGAAAAGCATATTGTGGATTAAGCATTATTTTATTTAAAGACTCTAACACTAAGGAGCATGATATGCATAAACCATTTTTTAAACAGATTTAATTTCTGTGATGAGCCATGTTCTTCATCTAGCCACTTTTTAAAAAGAATTTTAAATATTGAGAAAATATTATTTTTAAAAATATTTTTTTGTTAAAACATTTAAATAATATGAAGGCTATAGTGTGGATAACACTTTTTTTTACATATTTAAATATGTGAAGCATATTGTGGTTAACAATAAAACAAGATCGACTACTAACATGTCTATTAGTATATTATTATGTTGGTTTGTAGCATTGTAAACAACATTTTTAAAACCCATTCCTATAAGCAACAAATCGTACATTTCTACCAACATTTAATACTAAAACTAGAAATCAGTACACCCTTGTATGTACTAAAGTATCTATTAGTATTTACATGAAATGCATACTCGCAGCATTTTACTTTTTGTTAGAAACTGCTAGTATATGATACAGATAGAAAGAAAATGTACCAACCCACGTTCGTCACCAATAATGCTAAATATATTAGAGCTGGCTGTGGCCATGTCGTCCCACGGAGAGGATTCGACGTTAGCTTTTGTGAACCAAGATTCTGTCGATGTACCAACGCCATTGAACAATATTGATATCAACTCTTCATTAAACGCTGAATATAAGGTTAATTTTACCTGGTTAAAAGAACGAAAAAATTGAAATAAATCACTTTATACTAATCTAGATACTAGACAGTCTGGACTGTAGTATCTGCTGAATGTGTATGTTGTATTCCACTTTCTGTGTTACTAATCCTTGTGTCTGTTAACTGTATTGGTTTTGATGTCTGTGATTTGTTCTGCATATTTGGCCTGTTCCTGAAATTTGGTGTCGACGGTTCCTACGGTATTCAAAGTCATCCTCTGATGTTTTCACAAAATAAGTTCTAGGTTCTTTGGCTAATTTAACTACTACCGCTGCATACGAACCGTGCCATCAGGTTATAGTGTTGGAAGTCGTTTACATGATTTATCCACACTATTTTTCTGTGACTGTCTTAACTCTCTAAGACGACGTTGAACCAATATAAGATCTAGCACTTTAGGCTTGAGAAGTGCTTCTGTTTTAGGTATTGCATTTTTGGTGCGACGAGAAAGGTTTCTCTGTGCTTGAGATCCAAGTACTGTATCTCTTGGAATATTTCTCCAATTTAGTAAATTATGATGAAAATCTGAATCATCCCTAAATGATTTCTCCAACAGCCTCTTTGCTGACGTACAGATTTCTCAGCAAGTCCATTACTGCTATAAAAATATGGGCTGCTTGTTGTATGATTGAATCCCAAATTTCGGATAAACTCTTTGAACTCTGCTGATCGATACTGAGGTCCTGTATCAGATAATTGTCATGTCTGGCACACCAAATCTGGCAAAGTGTGCTTTGAGCTTGTTAATCACTGTTGTCGATGACAGTTCCGATAATTTGTCAACTTCAAACAAACCTGAATATGAGTCAACTGTCACCAAATATGTCTCTGAATGCCACTTAAACATGTCAGTTCCTAGTATTGCCCAAGGTCTGCTTGGTACTGGGTATGGCATTATAGGTTCTCTTTGTTGATGATCCTTGACACTGTGACAAGTGCTGCAAATCTCAATCATTTTTTTCAATTTAGTTATTCATACCTAACCAAAACAAGACATCTCTTGCTCTACGTTTTGAAGGTTCAACTCCCAAATGTCCTGCATGCGCTTGTCTGGCATATTGCCGTTGTAGTTTTGCGGGGACTACAAGTTTTTGTCCATTTAGGATAAGTCCGTCATCCACTATCAACTCATCACGAAATGGATAATATTGTCGAATATCCACTCCTATATTTCCTAGATGGTTATTCCATCCATTAAGAATTGTTTTGCAACTTGTTCAGGACATTATCTTCATCTGTTGTTCGTTCCAGTCTTCCAGATAACACATTATAGTCAATATCTTCATCACCTTCATCTTTCACATCTCTAGATGGAAGATATGCTCAAGATAATGTATCTGCAACATATAAATAATTTCCTCTCTTGTATTTCAGAATGTACTGATTTCTGTATTCTCAGTAAGAACCGCCTTACTGGTGCTGCTGATAATTGTTTCTTTACTATTGAGATTAGCGGTTGATGATCCTTTTCAATTGTTACTTTCTTTCCACATATATAGTCATGGAATTTAGTACATCCGAAAACAACTTCCAGCAACTCCTTCTCAAGTTGGGTGTAGTTTATTTCGGCTTCAGTTAATGCACGAGATGCAAAAGCCACCGGTTTGCCTTCTTCTAAGCATGCTACTCCAAGTCCACTGTTGGATTCATCACATGTCAACGTAACTTCCTTTTGCACATCAAAATATGCTAATGTTGTGCTGTTCTTTATTTCTTCAAATATAGTGTGTTGGTGTTTGTACCACTGCCTTTCATGGTTTTTCCTCAACAAATCATTGAGAGATTTTGCTTTCTCACTCAAGTTTGGGACAAACTTTGTCAGGTACTTTACCATCCCCAAAAATCTAAGCAGGTCACTTGTATTGGATGGTGTCTGCATTTCAGTGATTGCCTTTACTTTTGCAGGGTCTGGTTGCAATCCACCATTTGATAGTATGTGTCCTGAGTACACAACACTTGATCTCTTTGTGTAATGCTAGTTTCAGGTCTATCTCTCTAATTCCTACAAGAACTTTCTTAAGATTTGCATCGTGCAATTCCTCTGCACTACCAGCTACTAGGATATCATTCATGATTACGTCACAAGGTACTTTTGAAAGTAAATGCTCGATAGCTTTTTGATAAACCTCAGGAGCTAAGCTTATTCCCATTGGCATACGCAAATATCTGTATCTGCCAAACGGTATTCCGAAAGTGGTAAGGTAAGATGATTCATCATCCAACTGGATATGATAAAAAGTACTCTTGGCATCCAATACTGTAAAATATCTTGCTTCAGGCATATTTTGTACAATTTGTTCTATTGTACGCATTGGGTAATGTGGTCGCTTTATCGCACTGTCTAGGTCTCCAGATCCTAACATATTCTCTGTTCTCCGGTAGTCTTAGTAATAACCATAGCTGAGACCCAATCTGTTGGCTCAGTGACAGAAGCAATTGGTTCTTCTGATAGCATTTCATCTAACTTTCATCTAAGTTTTTCTTTGATTGCTACTGGTACCGTTCTTACTGGTCTGACTACAGGTTGTATTTCAGGATCAAGTGTTATTTTATATTTTACTGGCAATTTGCCAATCTTGTCATCGAATAAGTCGTCATTTTCTTTCAGGATACCATCAGGCACTTTTTAAGTAGATGCTAGTTCAAATACCTCTGTGCTGAATGAAATCAAGTCTAAATGCAGACTATCTTTCAAGCCCATTAACGTCGATACTTCTTTGTCTACAACTTGGAATTCCATATCAAATTTCCTATCTGACTGCACACAAATTAATGTTGCACTTCCCAAAGATCTAATAGCTTGGCCTCCAAATCCAACAAGCTTAACTTATTTTGATGAATCAAAGCATTCTTCTTTAATCAGGTATTCCAATGTTGTTTTGCTCATCACATTGCACTTAGCACCTGTGTCAACTTTCAATCTTATTTTTTTCTTATCAATCATCATATCAGTGTGGATATCTTTTTTCCCTTCTGTATGTACCGATTCAATGTAGAATGTTTCTAATTCCTACTCCACCTTGTCAATTTCATTCACTGATTTTGATCATGGACGATTTACACCAGGGGTCAGACAGACAGATGCAAAATGATTTCACTTATTAAATTTATTTTCATAGTTTACATTGTTTCCATAATGCTGGACATGTGTTGCCAACACCTTTATGTTTGTAACCACACTTCTTACACTTTTAGTTAGTTTCTTGCTTTTTAGCCATGTAAGTATTTGGTTTTCTACTGATAGCATTTTTGTGGCCTTGTTTATAATTCCTTTTTTAAGTTCGGTTTTCTTGCTACATAATCTATTGTTTCTTCCTTTTCTGACTTAATTATCTTAGCATGAACCTCACACAGCTCATGCATTTGACAAATCTGTATTGCCTTGGCCAGTGTTAATTCACTTTCTCTTAATAATATTTTGCGTACATTTTCTTTTCTTATCCCTATTACTAGCTTGTCTCTGAGTAACTGATTTTCTCGATACTCACACATGTTTACCTTGTTTCTGAGATCTGACAAGAATGTCTGGAATGGCTCTCCCTCTAGTTGTACCCTTGAATTAAATCTGTATCTTTCCAGAATAACGTTTGTGCGAGGATTACACAACTGTCTAAATTTTCGCTTCAAGCATTCTGGGTCGTTTCGTTATTCTGCTGGGAGCTCACCTTGTCTATCAGGGTTTGGTCTCGAAGCTAGGTATGAGAATGATCGTTCCCGTTCAATAGCCCCTGATCCTGCTAAATTAAGAAGCACTGCTGCCTTAGTTTGCTTGCTTTTTATTATTATATGCTGCTTCAAGAAATATATCATATTCTCTCTCGAAGACACGCCAATTTTCGGCAAACTGCAACGGTGCGGGCTTTCGCAATCCAGCGTCGGTCATCTTGCATACGACGTTCTTTATTCATTACAATCCCAGCGCCATGTCTTCTGGCTCGAGCGCCCTCTATATGCTCTAGCATACAGTTACAGTTATAAAATCATTTAATGAAATACATACCTCTGACTGGTCTAGTCAAGGATTAGGAGGCCTGGCTTAAGTACAGTCTTTGTAGTAGGCCTAGCTTAGTTTTAGTGACTGCTCTACTGTTCATATGAGAATGAAAAAAGAAGTTCCATTCCATTGACACAATTGGTGTGATGGTTATTTTCAAAGCAGTCATGCACATTACTAGACCTAGATCATTAAATAATATTCAAATCTGATTATAGAGAAATTCAAGGTTCACCGATTATACTGGAGGTTCTATCTTACTATAGGTTCACGATACAAGGACTATGACATTGACTATAGCATATTGTTTATAAACAGTTATTATCATCTTTATCTACAATACATCATTATTCTGAGTTCAGAGCCGAGTACGGTACCTGATGATTGAGGCTGTGCCCTCATGAAACAGTTTGTAGTGCAAAATAAATTGTTGAGTTTTTAACCTAGTGTCTGTCTCTTATACACATCTTACAACAAATTGATTNNGATATATACACAGTAAAAAAATCGTGTAGGAATATTTTTTGATTTCTAGTATAATCTGTTTTACACCTTTTACAGTAAGTTTAATATAAATGTATTTTTAATACGTACGTGCCATTTTTGTGACTTTTGAAGACAGCAAGTTACGATAGGATTCGTGGGGTATTAAGAAACGTCGGTGCTTCGTGGTGTCGGCATTTTGGGTCACGAAGTAACCAACTCTTCTGAGAAACAAGGGCATTATTAGGCTACCACTTCAAATTTCTAACACCGTACATGGCAAAACTTTAGGACAAGCCAAAATATGATTTTGACTGAGAAGCATGATGAGAGAAGAAAAAGGAATTATAGCCTATCAATATTATTTGCCATCACGACCATTATTTAGGCATGTCACAAGTCTGGACAGTTTGTATCCTTAGTACACTTACTTTTATAACGTCAAGTGATGCCCAGTTGTTTAATACCACATTGTTTCTGTAATGGGTGTTACTGATAAGAAACTTGTCGGCATATTTATTTGACGATCCTGTCCCAGAATTCCAAGCGTTGTAGATACTCAATCCGTTCATCGATATTCCCTTGAATGCTCGAACCCAATTATTTTCTGGTGTAAATAACGTAAAACATCATATAATTTTGAATGCTTATTGTGATAATATTTTGGTTTTTCAGATTATGACGATAATAATGGGTGAGTCCAGTAGCCGTGCGGTAAGGCAGCGATACCGTTAGCTACGGACTTAACATCGGCTCTAGTTCCAGTCGTTCCTCGCCCAGGGTTCGCAAATAGGTACTGGTATACAATGTTTAATGCATTTTTGGCCTCAGACAGGGTTGCTACTTATCTCCTATATATTTTTTCCATACTTACATATGGATTAGTAGATTATTTTAAAAACTAATATTTTTGTGGTATGCAGATTTGTGACTCTAATTATGTTTGTCGTCTATATGCTGATGATGTTTGTTTTCTTTCGGATTTTTCCTGAGGTATGCTTAATATGCTGAACTTTCTAAATGAAAAATGCAACGTGTGATGACTTACACTGAATTCTAGAAAGTCCAAAACTATGGTATTAGTAATGGTGGAATTGTCAAGCAGAATGAGAATGGCAAGTGGAAGTTTTTTTTTTTAAATTATATTTATAGGTGTCAACATTAGCTTTAGTGTCAGTCGCCATTAACACATGTATTTTTTCAAGCAGATCGTAGTGTCAGTCGCCATTAACACACGTATTTTTTCAAGCAGATCGTAGTATCTTTCAAGTAAGGAGTTTCTTTAATAGAAATAATTGCGTTAATTTAGATCTTAATGAAGCTTTGTTGACGCTATGGTCGTACATTTTCACCGAATGAATTAATAAATATAAACCTAAATTAACTTATTGGAATATTTACGAAGCATTGCAGACTGCAAACTAGAGTTTTGACGACCGATCTACATTTCCAATGTTCATGTAGCTCCAGTTAAAAGTATATTATTGTAATTTCAAAAGTGTCTACAGACGATATTTGTTTGTGTTCATTTTAAAAGCACTCTTTATTCTAATAAGTATTATGTGACAACTAAGCATGATGTGGGAGTGTAGTATAACATCAGCATGGTGCCCATGGGCACATCACATCAATTTCTAAAATTAACATTTGTTTATTGTGGACAATACAAAACAGTCAATCCACAACGAATACAAATTCATTTGTATATATATAGCAAACCTAAGTAGATCATTTGATATTTTAAGAAAGTAAAATATAGGTATACATTTTTTTTTCTCAACGGAACAAAGTATCTTTCTTCAACTAATGAAAACAGTGTATAGTGGAGTCGTGCAGTTTGACAAAACGAAAGGAAGATCAAGACAAATAGTATGAATGTCATTTAAAAAAATTGACAAAGCCATTTTGTCTACGTTTCGATCTTATTGAAGCATCATCAGGAAAAATCATTCATATTATTTGTATTTAAACTCATGTGCACATCCTAATGGTTTCTAGAATAATGCATGGATGGAACAGAATTTTTTTTTTTTAGTGAGGGTGCATTCCAACCCTAATATAGATGGAGAAATTAGAGCTATATCCGGAAAAACTCTTTGCCTAGGCTTACATTTTTTCAATGAAAATACTTATAGGCTAATTAATAAAATTCGTTACTGCTGCCTTACCAGTTCTACAGCCAAGAATTTCCACACGGAGACTTATATGCTCATTCCACCCTTTAATGTTGAACTTAATTCCGGTTGCCTTGATATTAGGTTGAATAAAATGATATCTTTCTGTTTTGATATCCCAATTTCCATCAAAAATCTAAGTAAAAATAAAGTAAAGTTAAGACTATTCACTTCAGTAGCCCTTTAATTTACAAAATGATGAAAGCTTTATATATAATAGTAAGCAAGAGATTAATTAATGTTAGAAGTAAATTAATTAGCTATAAAGTTGTGTAGGTGTACAGCACTGTTTTTGTGAACAGTATTTATTCAGTTTATAATAGCGTTGTTTATAAAATTTAATAAGTTAATAATAACTTAATTCATTTATAAATTTTAGTGTATAAAATTGAGTTTTGTTTTAAAGGAATGCAACGTAAATATCGTGTCGGCAACGTTTTGTTAACGTTATTTTCAGACTAAAATTTTGCAAAATAAAGATCAACCGAAAAACTCCCTGGAAATGTTTTCATGTTTTCTAAAACTAAAAAAAAAAAAAAATATATAAATAAAAAAAAAAAAACAACACACACACCCTACTCTACTTTACCCCCCCCCCCACACACACACACACACGCACACACCCCCACACACGTACACACACACCAACCAAGCTTTCACATTTTAACATCAGCACAATGTGTATTTTTAAGCTTTATACACTTTTTGTAATTGACTATTGTTTTTACCGGGAATTGTGGTTGGATTTTGTCATGAAAAAACAAATCTACGTGAATCTCGATACTGAGTGGTGTTTAACCGGACACACACTGTGCTGACGGTCGTCGGCCAGGCGATTCAGGGAGAACGTAGCGCCACGAGGATCGCAGCGAATTGTTTTAATAGCGAGCTTTCGAAATGTGTAACGCTGGGAGCTGCGACTGGGAATTCAGTCAAACATGAACGTCGAACTATGCATTTCCCGTCTCAACATCAAAGCTGTTTCGATTTACAGGACGACGCGCTCGCTCCCTCGTATCGTGTGATCAATTATGCAGGTGCCCCAGCGAGCGCGTATTTATAAAACTCATGTTGCCGTAGTCAACCCAATGCCAAATCGCTTAAAGCCCGTTGTCCAAATCCACGCAACGAACGACTTCCCAAGTATTTGCATGCGCAGTACGGTTTCACGCTCCACTGCCCTTCGTAGAACCAAGGATTTTTAACTGTTACGAGGATAGGAAGCTGGCTGGTTTAAGCCGTCTAACTTGAATCCTTTTGTGAGGTATTTTTTATGCAAATGAGCCAGATAAGCACAATCCGCACCTGTTTAGAAAAACACAACAATTCTTAGCCACACGATGGCCAAGGAAGTCCTTGGTAGAACGCCGCGTCTTCAAAATCGAAAGCTGCTTAACAACCAATCAAAAGCAGAGCGTCGCGTCTGCAGAGCAGAGAACAGAGGAAAAATCATATTATTGCGACGGTCCCATGAGACCGTCGTACGACGCATTGTGTTTTTGTAATTACCTTTATAAGGTTATTTGAGTCGGTTATGTACGTTTCCCCGATGTGGTTTACTTTAAAGTAGCTGATTGAGTAAAGTAGTACCCACTGTGACTCTCCATTTTTTTGTCTTCCTTGTGTAACAACTCCCGTGATATTATGCTCAACAAGTAAATCAATTTTCAGCCATTCTTTTGTAAACGTCTCCGAAATCCAACCAGAATAACAGCCATTATAGCCTTCAGCTTGATCTAATCTGGCGCAATAGGCAAAGCAGTAAGGGCAATTAAATACCGAACTAGCCGTTATCTGATCATTCAGTATTCTTCCAGACTTCATGCCGAGAGCACCAGTGCAACCTAAAGATTCAATCAAATATTTATGATTTTTTTTTATGAGAAATAAATATTAGTTGGTTCTTGGGTGGATAATTAGCTCAACAACAGCATCAACAACAACAACAACAACAACAACAACAGTAACAACAATAATAATAATAATAATAATAATAATAATAATAATAATAATAATAATAATAATAATAACAATAATAACTAGACTTACATGGAAAATGGTAATGGTAATGGTTGAAGACTTACATGACACAAAGTACATGGTCTCTATGCGCAAAACAAGAAAAACAAGCAAAAATAAAGCTATCCTAGGCAACACAAACTGAAAGTCAGAAACCAATAAAACCAATATATTTTTAATGAAGTGGAAAATATGAAGTAAAAAAAGAAAGAAAATAAAAAACAACGAAAACTAAGTTACATCGTGACCCATAACCATTGCGCGCTATATGGGCCGACCTTGCATAAGAAAATGTGAATTTTCATTTCATAGCCATTCAATGACTGAAAGCAAAAATTGTTCATGCATATCACGGTAGTTTTGAGTTTAACCTAGCTGCAGCTGGTTTAAGCGCTTTAAAAATTGCCTTTAAATAACTTAATCAACTTTTAACAAAAAAATTTTTAAATGGTCCTCGTACCTACGCCCTACTGCTGATCGTCACAAAAATTGCATCATTTCCTAATTTCACCATGAAAAAGTATTCTGCAAAATGTTATTTTTATATATCTATAACAAGGACGTAAAGAATTTAAATGACCCTCAAATTTACACCCTAACCTGGATCGTCCCCTACACATAATACAATCTTCCTTGTAACTTAGATTAAACTTTCCCGAAAGTTTTATCCGATCAGTTGCCCCGTTTTTAAAATATCTGGTCTGGGAAGCTGCCCTTTAAATGTTATCATATTCACACCCTATTCACACAAAAGAATCAGAAACTTCTTTACTGGACCTTTATAAACTATTGTAGAAAGTTACATTTACACCCATTGAAAACTTCTTATAGATATTTACGTCTGGGATCTCAAAAATTTAAATGATCCTCCAATGTACACTCTTGACTGATTCATCGCCAATACTACCTTCCTTGTAACTTGGTTAAACTTTTTCCGAATGTTTCATTCAGATCAGTTGACCCGTTTTCGAAATATGTGGTCTGGGACGTTTTTCTTTCAATGGTCCTCAGATCTACACCCTACTCCGGATCGTCACAAACATTTAAGCCTTGTTCCGACGGTGTAAGTTACACCGGTGATATCGTAGTTATCGAACAAGCGATTGTTATGAGGCTGACACCGATCGTATGAACGGGGTCATCTGACAGAAAACAAGCGTTTCACCCCGCAAGCTAACACCGACAAATGACCGGATTGGCAAGGCTCTCATCCGACAAAAATTTCTGTTAATTAAATTGCCACATGCTGATTGCAATGACATCTGTAGCTTGACCACGGTCTCGTTTTTGAGGCAATATTTATTAGGCGTACGGGAACGGGAATGATTCGTAAAAATTAACCTACCAACCTATCAAGAGGGCAATACTCGCCAACGTAACCAGTAGACAAGCAGCGGCAGATGTAGCCCTCTTCATTGTCAGAAACTTCACACACCTTTCCAGTTCCGCAGTCTACTAAGTTGCAAATGCTGAAGATTTTCTGTAAATTGTAATATTAATTAGTAATGAAGATGGTCAATTTTGTATGCCCTTTCATGTTGTTGATGATGATGCCGCTGCTGCTGCTGCTGCTGATGATGATGTTTATGATAGTGATGATGATGAAGATGATGATGATGATTGTAAAATAGAGCAACTTGTGTAGCGCCCTCAATTGGGTATGGAATGTTCGAAGTGGTAGATCGCCTAGTAACCAGATCACAATGGGTAAATTGAAGTAAGTTAAATTCATCATAATGAGATATGTAGAGATAATTTCATTGTTATATTATGATTCTTTGATTCAGTGTTATATGCTTTGGAGTTTGCAATGACCTAATTAGAGTTAAGCTTTGGCTTAAGCCGTTAATTATCATGTTAAATGTAAGACCTATATTACTGTAAGTAATGCTATGCATAAACGTGAACAGATAGGGGAGACGCAAGTGCTGGTAGAGAGTTGGCCTTTGACATTTATAGGCCTGGGATGCTCCTACGAATATATATATTCATGTGTTTCATAGATTTATCGATGTGGGCTCTCTTAATTATTATCTTGTTATATGTTTAACTACAGAATAAAACCATTGTGAGATAGATGAAACTGAACATAAACCGACTACGTTCCAATGATGATCATCATCATCATCATGCTTATGATTATAATGATTATGATGATGATGAATATAATGATGATGATGAATATGATGATTTAACAATGAGGGTGACGATGATAACGAAGATAATAATAATGGTGACGATGATAACAATAATAATTTGAAATAAAATATAATAATATGTACTGTATATTACATATTTCTTTTGTTTTATGGCCAATACGTATGTTAGCATTCCCAAAAACTTTAATTTCTTCCATATTTTTCTGCAGACCTAATTTATTGAGGTAGAAGTGCTGTCTCTTATACACATCTTTATATCTTCCAGTAAATAATCGAGTAATAGGCCTACGACGTCTTTTGTAAAATCCACTATTGGGTATTCTAAGTGTCAAATTAACATAGACCCCTAATTAATATTATAGATCCATGATAGTTTGTATAAGCATGGAGGAATATGTTTTAGTGCATCAGAAAACCGTCTCAATGCCACTGGATCTCTACCATCTATCTTTGGTACAGATGTCAGCTTGTCTGTAAATGCTTTGGCAATAACAGCATTATTGCCATAATTCTGTTTTAACTCACATTTTGCCTGCATGTAAGCCTCCTTGGACTGTAAAAGAAGATAGCCCC